TCGCCGAGACTCTCTGATTGGTGGAATTTTGTGTGTAGATAAAAAAAATACCGCCATGTACCGTGAAACCGGTATAATTTTGAAAAATACCGTGATATCAATTTCTGGTCACCGCCCAGCACTATGCAGAATTATGAACAATGTTGTTTTTCATCACAGATTCAGCTGTTAAACAATTATTTTAAAAAACAGTTGAAATAATGCAGGCTCACAGCTTCAACAAAAGCATAAACCATCGATTAACAAACTCGGATCTAAAAGTAGGTTATAAGCAGTGTTGGGGAAAGTTACTTTTAAAAGTAATGCATTACAATATTGCGTTACTTCCTAAAAAAAGTAACTAATTACGTTACTTAGTTACTTTTTATTGAAAGTAATGCATTACGTTACTTTTTAAATCTGGGCTGGGCTTGCTTGTTTGCTTTTAATATAAAAAGTTATATTTTTGGCAAATGTAAAAGCCCTTTCACACCAAAAGCATCAGGCTGAAGGAAATGTAAATTCACGTCTGTACAGTATACTAGTTACTTGAAAAAAGTAATCTGATTACGTAACTCGCGTTACTTGTAATACGTTACCCCCAAAACTGGTTATAAGTTCTCTTTAAAAATCTATTTCCCAATTATTTATTTATTTATTAATTTTTATTGATTGTAACCTTTTATTTAATATCGTCTGTTTTGGGTTGGTTGGGAGAGACTGAAATGGTAAAAAGCATAGTCTCTTTACAAATAACATTTGTTCTTGAATAATAAAAAAATATATATTTATTTGTTTGTTTGTTTGTTTATTTAGTGTAACGTTTTATTTCATACCTCCTAAGGCGGTCTGTTTGTGGTTGGTATAGTTCCCTGAGAACAAAAACATTTGTTCTTGGGAATAAAAATAAATAAAAAGAATAATAAAAAATAAAATAAAATAAAATTTAAAAATGAAGAAAAAAAACATTTATTGATTGATTGCATTAGACATCATTTAGTCGCCCAGAGTGAAGATTTAGTCGCATATGCGAGTGATTTACACGCAATGTAGAGGGTTGCAAATGTAAAAGCCCTTTCACACCAAAAGCCTCAGGCTGAAGGAAATGTAAATTCACGTCTGTACAGTATACGCAGAAGAAGAAAGTTCAACACTCTTCAGCAATAAAAAAAGAAGAAGAAATGTTAGCTTATCTTGTGTAATTTGTGCTTATTAGTATGGTTGAATTGGATCATCGAAGGTCAGCAGCAAATTGGTTAATAAAATGGGATTAAATACATAAAGGATATTTGTATGATTTAACCTATTTAATTATTGCAGCTCTGCAATAATTAAATAGGTTACATAATACAGATATTTTAATAATTTAATCTACAAATCTCTTTACAAATAACATTTGTTCTTGAATAATAAAAAAATATATATTTATTTGTTTGTTTGTTTGTTTATTTAGTGTAACGTTTTATTTCATACCTCCTAAGGCGGTCTGTTTGTGGTTGGTATAGTTCCCTGAGAACAAAAACATTTGTTCTTGGGAATAAAAATAAATAAAAAGAATAATAAAAAATAAAATAAAATAAAATTTAAAAATGAAGAAAAAAAACATTTATTGATTGATTGCTTTAATATCTTCTTTTGTTTAATATCTTCTAAGGCAGTCTGTTTCTGCTTGGTAGTTCTTGAGAATAAAAATAATAAAAGGAATAAAATTAAAAAATAATAAAGCATTTTATTTATTTATTTATTTTCTAAAGCAGTCTGATTCTGGTTGGTAGTTCTTGAGAATAAAAAATAAAATAAAAAGAAGAATAAAAAATACAAATAAAAAGACTGAAAAAAATAAAATGTATTTATTTATTCATTCATGCATACATACATTCAATATTGATTGAACCTTTGATTTAATCTCTTCTTAGGCAGTCTGTTTCCAGTTGGTTGGGGAGGGACTGAAACGGTTGCTATACAAATAATATGTTCTCAAGTTTTTATATCTGGAAGCGACTGTTGCACTTATTATGGTCATCCTAGAGACTTCTGTGAGGGAATGAGATCAAGTGCATTCTGGGTACAGGCAGCACACAATGGGAGATGATAAACAGGTTCTGGGTGAGGAAGGATGGCCGGTTCACACGTCCCTGGCGTTCCTGGCTTTGTGCTCCAGACGGCTCATGGGGAGAACCTGGGGTTTTCATCTGGCTCTGGAGACGGCAGGTCTGCGTCAGGTGGAGCGAGGATGAGGTCTAAAGACATGCCCGCTGTGCCATTTCTCTAGCACTTCCTCTGCAAAACGTTCACTTCCACCGGCCGGCCTTCCATGTGTGGGACTGAACTTAGAAATAACAAAACGAGGCGACCCGACCCATTCGTTTCAATGGCGTGCGTGTTTTTAATAAATATTGGATTTCAGAGATAGGGTCAAAATATTTGTGAGGTGGAGACATGCGTCTCCATTGTGAAAGATTAATCAAATAAGAGTCGTCTATATGAGATAGCGGAGACAGATAGAGCGCCGGACCCTCGACTCGTGTCTGTCCAGCTAACAAACAATAGAAACGCAATTCCTGTGTATTAGAGGCATTTGAATGGCAGAGAATAACAGCTAAAGATGGAGACGTGGGAACAATACTTTGTTTGTGAGGGAACAAAACAAAACAAGTGAACAATCGGGGAAGAGTTTAATAAACATGAAATGATGAATTTGATTGACACTGAAGTGACTAAAAACAAGTTTGATGCCAAAGCGGTGAACTTTTGAGCTTGATGAGGTCAATCTAAGCAATGAAATACTAATACACTTCTATAGAGAAATTAATCAAACTCAAACTCAAAAAAAGCTTGATAACATGTCCATCCAAAGTTTTAACACAAACAAGCGAATAAACTTAATGTGATGCATATTTCTCAGTCACGCATGGCAAAAAATCATGCCATAATTTATCATTAAATATTTGCATTTAATTTTATTTAAATGATCATATTTTCAAAATGCATTAATTCAAATAGCTTAGAATCAGCATAAATCTGTTTGTTGAGAAAACAGTTAAATTTATCATTAGGTTAAAAAGTATTAACAATGTATGAGGGTTGAAACTAATTGTATTTATTGAAGATATGCATTTAAAACCTATTCAATGTATTAGTATTATTATAGAAATCCGACTACTTTTATTTATGCATGATTGAAATGAAAATGAAAATGTGCATCACATTACGTTTATTAGTTTATGTTAAAACTGTGTAATGCAAATGCATGGAAATTTTATGTGCATTAATACATTAATCTTATTTATTTATTGGGGGGGAGGGGCACAATTCTATTTTATTCTATAGAAGTCATTAATGTTTAATGGATGTGAACATGCAAATTGGCTGATATTCTGATTAAAAACGGACATTTAAAAATAAAATGTTTTTACTGCACACTTAACAGTCAGATCTATTAAATATGATCATTATCTAGTTCATTATATCTTTCCTTTAATAAATATTTTGTCATCAGTGTCAATACAAGATCATATGAGCTCAATGAAAGGTCATCAGATCAATTTATGAATTAATAACTTCTTGCGGAAGAGAAATATCTCTTGCATTAGCCAAGAAATGACCTTCCTCAACTGTGTGAGGTGTATTTTAACCTCACTTTCTCTTTAAAGAGGTCTGACCAACTTCATATCCAGTCATTTTTGATCTCAGCAATGTCTCAAATGTGCAGCAACGTCTGCAATTAAAAGTCAAAGATCTCAATATGAACTCTCATAAAATGATCTAAGCTGCTCATTTTACAGCTCTATACTCTTATTATATGACAATAATCAAATCATTTGTGACTTTTTATTTTTTATTTATTCATGATGCATAAATCTCAGTTTCAAAAAATTGACCCTTATGACTGGTTTTGTGCTCCAGGGTCACATCTGGGTCATCAGTGACATTTCTCTTAACAGGATATATAACAGGATCTGAAAAGGAGACCCGGGGTCACGAAATCCAGTCATGATGACTGAGTAACTTCTTGAGAAGTTGCCTGAGAGACATCCCGTTAGTTACTTCTGTTAAGAATATGAAGATAGTTTAGTCATCATCAACAATTCTCATAACAATTCAATATAGCCTGTGCTCATTGTGAGCGGCAGGGAGAGGTTTTCCTGTCGGACGAGTCAATGGAATGAAGTCATTACAATTAATAACTTGTTTAATACACTAGCGGTCAAACGTTTGGAATGATTACAATTTTTTATGCTTTTGAAAGAAGCGTCTTCTGCTCACCAAGGGTGAATTTATTTGATCAAAAATACAGTAAAATTGTGAAATATTATTGCAATTAAAAAAACTACTTTTCTATGTGAATATCTGTTAAAATGTCATTTATTCCTGTGATGTCTTCAGTGTCACATGATCCTTCAGAAATCATTCTAATATGCTGATTTGGTGTTTAATTACTATCATTTATTATTGGTGTTTAATTATTGATAATAATAGGAAACACATATTCGATGTTGAAAATAGAAACATTTTCTAACATTTTAGAAGTAATAACTGTCACTTTTAAACAATGTGTTTGTTTTTCTGAATAAAAGATGTATGAATTTATTTTTATTTTTCTTACTCCAAACTTGTGGTAGTCTATCACAGTTTCTACTAAAATATGAAGCAGAACAACTGTTTTCAACATTGATAATAATCAGAAATGTTTCTTGAGCAGTATATTAGAATGATTTCTGAAGATCATGTGACACTGAAGACTGGAGTAATGATGCTGGAAATTCAGCGCTGCATCACAGAAATAAATTACATTTTAATAGATATTCACATAGAAAACAGTCATTTTAAATTGTAATAATATTTCACAATTTTACTGTTTTTACTGTATTTTTTATAACTACTGTATTTTTATATCAAATAACTACAGCCTTGGTGAGCAGAAGAGTCTCCTTGCAAAAACATTTTTAAAAATCTTAATTATTCCCAGTCATCTAAATAAAGTATTTCAGTTTACTAACTCACCTTTTATACTCACACAGACTGGTGCTACCAGACACAAGTGAGCTGTGAATCTCACTGTAAAGGTAAGTTGAGCCTCTATGTGCATTTTCTGTTTCATCACATCACTCAACTATCTAAGACGCATATAAACTAAATCTAACGTTACTTCTCCATGTTGCTCTAAGAACCAGACCGATGGAGTGAAGTCAGTGCAGACTGTGGGAAGAACAGGCAGTCACCAATCAACATAGTGACGAAGAAAACCAAGCTGGACGAGCGGCTGACGCCTTTCAAATTCACCGGCTACCAGACCGTATTCGACAGCACCATGAAGAACAACGGCCACTCGGGTAAGACTGCAAACTGGACAAGAACAGCAGCTGAAGACGAGAATCAAAACTAATCTAGCCTGATGAAGAGCATGTAGCTCAAAATGTCATCAGATTTGGAGAAATATAGCATTGCATCAGTGTCTCAGCAATGGATGCTCTGCAGTGAATGGGTGCCGTCAGAATGAGAGTCCAAACAGCTGATAAAAACATCACAAGTAATCCACAGCACTCCAGTCCATCGGTTAACATCTGGAGAAGACAAAAGCTGAAACTAATCCAGCATTAATACGTTTTTAGCTTCAAACTGTTGCCTCTTGCTAAAATACGAGTCCATAATCCATAAAAACACTGCGTTATTTTAGATTAACGACTCGTATTTTAGCTGGAAACAACTGTTTAAAATTAAAAACACCTTAATGATGGATTTGTTTCTTTTGTTTTCTCAAGACAATAACTGATGAACTGGAGTGGTGTGGATTATTGTGATGTTTTTATCAGCTGTTTGGACTCTCATTCTGACGGCACCCATTCACTGCAGAGCATCCATTGCTGAGACACTGATGCAATGCTACATTTCTCCAAATCTGATGAAGAAACAAACTGCTCTGTGTGACGCTGGACTGTAATGTTGTGTTTTCCACATCAGTTCAGGTCAGTATACCCATCACAGCCACAGTGTCTGGAGGAAACCTGGGAGAAACGTACAAGGCCGTGCAGTTTCACCTCCACTGGGGCACTAACGGAGGTCCTGGATCTGAACACACCGTCGATGGAGAGCAGTATCCTATGGAGGTGCGACCAACACCATATCAGTGAATAACACCAGCCAATACTCGTCTATTCCTATTTTTGTGCTGCTGATTCCAAAAATACTGTTTTGCTCGAGTTTTTATTTATATATATTTTTACTTTTAATCCGTATTATTATGTGTATTACTCTCTCACCAGCTGCATATTGTGCACATGAAACAAAGATTCAACAGACTTGAAGATGCACTCAGAGATCCTTCAGGAATTGCGGTGCTGGGATTCTTCTACGAGGTTTGAAATGTGCATGTGCTTTAAAATCAAGAAATATGAGTATGTTTAGTTTGCTCAGAGATGATTTTGAATTTTTACAATGAAAAATCCACATTGCTTCAAACTTTCAGGAGTCGAGCAGCTCTAACAGAAAGTATGATCTCTTCACACACGGCCTGCGCAGCATCCAGAATACAAGTAAGAAAGCAACCTCAATCTGAACAAGCGCTTCTGCAGTATTACAGGAATATTCCATATGTGACATGCTGTTGATCAACACAGACAATCATTTTGACTTGGTTTGAATAAGTGCATTTCTGATACCTTTATATTTTAAACATCTATTGATGGTGCTCTGATTCTTTTACTTGTGAATGCATTGTCTGCATTAATCAAAAGCATGCTGATCAAGATGAATATATGCTGGAATATTCCTTTAAGAGTGAAGTGCGTCATTTATTCAGTGTTCAGCTAGCTTGTGCTGTTTCAGTTTAATCGTGTCATTCAGTCAATGGTCATAGCTTGACTTCCTGAAGAGTGAAACACTGATACTTTCATAACATTGATCTGTTTGTTTGAGCGACACCATATATGCCAGATTATGACTCAACCAGTGACGTGAGCTTGAGAGACAATAGGACTATCTGGAAACAATTGTTATCTTTTTTTGTCTTTATTATGTTACGCGTAGTGCTGTTTCTAGCAAAGAAATTACACACTTTTAATTAGAATTTAAAAAAATAATAATTTTAAATAAAAAAACATATATATTATTGTCTTCCCTAAAAAAAAAAAAAAGAAAGTAAAATTAATTTTAATTAAAAAATAAATCCTGGAATCTACACAAAAAAATTTATATTATGATAATATTCTGGATGTTTTCAAATAAAGCTAATGATAACATGAAAAGAAAACTTTATGCATTTCTAGAAATTTCTGGAGATAATTATATGCATTTGTAGAAAATCCACTACCGTTTAAAAGTGTGGGGTCAGTAAGATTTTTTTTAATGTTTTTGAAAGAAAGACACAAATGCTTTTATTGAGCAAGGATGCATTAAATTGACAGTAAAGACATTTATAGTGTTATGATTTCAAATAAATGCTGTTCTTTTGAAAAATAAATTGCATGACGGTTTCCACCAAAATATTGGGCAGCACAACTGTTTTCAACATTGATAATAATCAGAAATGTTTGTTGAGCAGCATATTAGACTGATTTCTGAAGATCATGTGACACTGAAGACTGGAGTAATGATGCTGAAAATACAGCTGCGCATCACAGAAATAAATGACATTTTATCATATATTCACATAAAAAACAGCTATTTTAAATGATAATATTTAACAATTTTTTACTGTATTTTCGATCAAATAAATTCAGCCTTGTTAATCAGAAGAGACATTGTTCAACAAAGCTGTCTGAATGACTCTTTTTGTTTGCGCAGATGGAAACACGACGCTCCGTAAGATCTCTCTGAATCAGCTCATTCCTCCTGAAGTCAACATGACTAACTATTACCGGTATGACGGCTCTCTAACCACACCGGGCTGCACGGAGGCTGTGGTGTGGACGGTGTTTGAAAACCCCATTCCCCTCGACAGAGAACAGGTGCGACTGAAGCTGCCTTCACGCCATTATCCTGAACACCAAAAACTGGACATGAACTCGTATTTAAACTCATTTACTTTGCTATCTCTTGCCATTATAGTCAGCTATATTTAAATAACCATTTTATGCACATTGCATGTATTTTAGCATTTATTTGAATGGAACTTCAGAATAGCGCAGTGAATTATACAATAGTGCTGGTGACGTTTATTTGGTTGTCAATGAATGGGATGCTACATTTTATTCAGCATCCATTGGATATTGACTAAATATCTTCAATATATTCTCACTTTGATAAGATTTCCCCAATAAACGGGCAAGAATGAACATAGCTACGAGAAGAATCACAACAAACTTTGATTTGAAGCAAAACAGTATTTGAAAATCATACAAAAAGAGATCAAAAAGATAAAAGACTGTGAACTTAATATCTTTAATGGAAGAATTACAAACCCATGAAGCATGTGAATAATACAATTATTAACTTAAAGTTGTTGATATACATCATTTTTGATTTGATTGTCATGTTAAACAGTGTTATTTTAGTATCATTGAAATACTATTATAGTTTGTATTAATGTTAAATTAGATTTTTTTTAATATTGTCAGATTTTTCAGCTATCTTTTTTGTTTTCATGTTTTAGTAATTTTGTTGTGTGTTTGTCATTTTTATTAGTTTTTTAATATGTCTATATATATTTTTATTCATTTTTATTTCAGTTTGAGTTATTTGAGTGCCGAACAAGACACTAAAGAGTTGTTTTGGCACAATTAGCTTGTTTCGATTTGTATTATTTTGCAGAATTATGGGTAATGTAGTTTTTCACCAGAAATTCCGCTTTTAAACAATTCTTTAAAAGATAAGTTGAAATAATGCGAATTGATGGCTTCAACAAACGCATCTACCGTCGAATAACAACCTTGTAGCTCACAGTAGATCTGTTTTTAAAGGCTAAAAAAATCAGTTCATCTATGGAGAAAATGAATGGGATTTTTACTTTCTATTAGGATTTCAGAAGTGAGCACTTAAAGGGCCAGCTCACCCCAAAAATCAAGCTCTGATCATTATGTGTCTTCAAACAGCTCCGGGCTTTTTCCACCCTGAAGTTCCACGATGGGAACCCGATGGTGGGCACATTCAGACCCGTTCAGCCGCGTAACAGACGCGTGGTTTACCGGTCCAGCGGCGCAGCGGTCGCCGCCAGCGCCGTCCTGATTCTGGCCTCCATCAGCTGAGTTATTTTAGTACATCAAGTTAAACTAAATGAAAATGAGAAAAGTTGCTTTGGCGACTAGCTGAAATAAAATAGTTTATGTTTTCATATTCGATATCAGTTTATGTTTATTTTATTTGTAGAAAATTTTTTTATGGTTTTAGTGCCAGCGCCGTCCTGATTCTGGCCTCCATCAGCGCAGCGCTCGGCCTGTCCCGTCCGAACTAGAGCGAGACCGACCCGCTACCGGCACACAATCAACACAATGAGTTCTCAGCCAATCAACAGACCAACAGAAGAAAACCACAAACAAGCTGTTTCTACAGGACAATAGAGTAGTTAGTGTAGAATCTGACCAGTAGACGTGTGTTCATAGCTATCAATAGGAGCTGAACTAAAGCCGCTCGGACTTTCTGTGAAGGTCTGACGGGGAATAAATGCATGACCTTTATCTGTTATAGACATCTGCCAAACACACACACACACACACACACACACACAGGCTATATTTACAAAGGCTTTGATGTGCTGGAGACGTGCATTACTAACACACACAGCAATGATCAGCACTTTACTGGTGAAAGGTCACAGAGTTCAAGGGTGAAAGGTCACAGAGCCGTGAGAATAGATCGGAGAGAAACCCAGATATAGCAAACACAAATACATCTACATTAATTCTGTTGACAGTTTCACAGGGTGTTTCACACTTGAGTTCAAAAGAATCAAATTCGCTTTAAATGAATCAAGTTAATTGATCGAGAATTGAGAATTAAAATGTACAGTGGGTACGGAAAGTATTCAGACCCCCTTAAATTTTTCACTCTTTGTTATATTGCAGCCATTTGCTAAAATCATTTAAGTTAATTTTTTTTCCGCATTAATGTACACACAGCACCCCATATTGACAGAAAAACACAGAATTGTTGACATCTTTGCAGATTTATTAAAAAAGAAAAACTGAAAAATGCTCAGTATTTAGTAGAAGCACCCTTTTGATCTAATACAGCCATGAGTCTTATTGGGAAAGATGCAACAAGTTTTTCACAACTGGATTTGGGGATCCTCTGCCATTCCTCCTTGCAGATCCTCTCCAGTTCTGTCAGGTTGGATGGTAAACGTTGGTGGAAAGCCATTTTTAGGTCTCTCCAGAGATGCTCAATTGGGTTTAAGTCAGGGCTCTGGCTGGGCCATTCAAGAACAGTCACAGAGTTGTTGTGAAGCCACTCCTTCATTATTTTAGCTGTGTGCTTAGGGTCATTCTCTTGTTGGAAGGTAAACCTTCGGCCCAGTATGAGGTCCTGAGCACTCTGGAGAAGGTTTTCGTCCAGGATATCCCTGTAATTGGCCGCATTCATCTTTCCCTCGATTGCAACCAGTCGTCCTGTCCCTGCAGCTGAAAAACACCCCCACAGCATGATGCTGCCACCACCATGCTTCACTGTTGGGACTGTATTGGACAGGTGCCTGGTTTTCTCCACACATACCGCTTAGAATTAAGGCCAAAAAGTTCTATCTTGGTCTCATCAGACCAGAGAATCTTATTTCTCACCATCTCGGAGTCCTTCAGGTGTTTTTTAGCAAACTCCATGCAGGCTTTCATGTGTCTTGCACTGAGGAGAGGCTTCCGTCGGGCCACTCTGCCATAAAGCCCCGACTGGTGGAGGGCTGCAGTGATGGTTGACTTTCTACAACTTTCTCCCATCTCCCGACTGCATCTCTGGAGCTCAGCCACAGTGATCTTTGGGTTCTTCTTTACCTCTCTCACCAAGGCTCTTCTCCCCCGATAGCTCAGTTTGGCCAGACGGCCAGCTCTAGGAAGGGTTCTGGCCGTCCCAAACGTCTTCCATTTAAGGATTATGGAGGCCACTGTGCTCTTAGGAACCTTAAGTGCAGCAGAAATTTTTCTGTAACCTTGGCCAGATCTGTGCCTTGCCACAATTCTGTCTCTGAGCTCTTCAGGCAGTTCCTTTGACCTCATGATTCTCATTTGCTCTGACATGCACTGTGAGCTGTAAGGTCTTATATAGACAGGTGTGTGGCTTTCCTAATCAAGTCCAATCAGTATAATCAAACACAGCTGGACTCAAATGAAGGTGTAGAACCATCTCAAGGATGATCAGAACAAATGGACAGCACCTGAGTTAAATATATGAGAGTCACAGCAAAGGGTCTGAATACTTAAGACCATGTGATATTTCAGTTTTTCTTTTTTAATAAATCTGCAAAAATGTCAACAATTCTGTGTTTTTCTGTCAATATGGGGTGCTATGTGTACATTAATGAGGAAAAAAAATTAACTTAAATGATTTTAGCAAATGGCTGCAATATAACAAAGAGTGAAAAATTTAAGGGGGTCTGAATACTTTCCGTACCCACTGTAAATAACTTGCCCTAAGGGCAAGTTATTTGTTTTTCAATTTTTTATTTATTATTTATTTATTTTTGCCCTACGGGCAAGTTATTTATTTTTCATTGGCTCAAGTTAAAAAAATATAGATGTGAATCATTACCAAAAAAATTTTTTAATTGGATGAATGAAACATTTTTTTCAGTGTA